GGGTTAACCCATTGTGTGAACTGCGATCATGCAACTTTGGAACCACAAACATGTAACAACAGAGCAATTAAAATGTACTTTCAAGTGAATGTTATAAAATGTTTATTCACTGAGAAAGAAATGCCCGTAAAAAAAATATAGAAGAAATGGCGCAGGGCATACATGACTAGGCCCAGAGTGGGGAAGGAGGAACAGAAAGGGTTAAGGCAGATCCAAGGGGTTTGTTTTGATAGTGGGGGTATTTGGTTGGTGGAAGGTTGAGAATAGGTGGGGTTTCCTGCACCTTAGGGTGGGGGGTTTCAGTGAGGGGGCGTCAGTTGAGCTGGAAGTCAGGAGTGTGAGCTTCCCTCCCGCCCTCCCTGTTTTTGGTGAGTATTGGGTCCCTCCAGGTAAAGGGGGGGTTATATTGGTTCCTGGGCGGTTGTTGGTCTTTGGAGGCGGTTCTTATCTTGGAAGGTAAAAACAATGGTGTGGGACCCATCTGTGGTATGGGATGCCCGGGGACATTCCCAGTTAACCGAGGTTTAACTGGAAGGTGGTGGTGCTGCACTGCGGACGGTATGGTTGTCTCCGAGCTGGTTGGTTGCGGCTGGAGGCCTAGTGTATATGGTTGTCCGCAGGTGCATTTAGGATTGTTTGGGGGTGCCTTCGAAGACCAACAACAATTCTTTGGGTTTCTGTTATAAGGAATGGTTGGTGTATTTAAATTTGTGTTGTTAATAAAAGGCCATATTGGCCATTTACTCCAAAATTGGTGTCATGTTTTTTTTTTGTAAGTATAATTGGTTAAGGGGAAAGGGGGGTTTGTACGGAACAGTCATGGTGGTAATGGGGAGTGGACAAGCCTATCTCTGGTGCAATGGTCATGTGCTGTTATACCTATTGTGTAACAATATAATACAATGCATAGTTATGGGTAATGTAATATACTGCCATCTTGCGGATATTTTGGTTATGGCACCTTCCTTTTTATGTCTTTTTGTACATCTTGTCCCTCCCACTAGCTAGTGATGCATTACCTCTTCCTTCTTCACTGTCTTCTTGGGATGAATATGGCCACTTGTCTCTAGGCCACATGTAATCTGCTCACATCTGGGGACACATTACCATGTTTTGACCTGCAAATACTGTCCTTTCATTCATCTGCTACATCTTGTTGTCTGCTGTACCTTCTACATTGCAATAAAATATTCGTGGATGAGAAAAACAGGTGTTTGGTGAGTTCAGCTATTTGATAAAGACTGTCCGCAGTGATTGTATCTGCTTATACAGGCCGGGCATAGAGGTTTCAGCAATACTAATACAACAGTTTGAGTCAGAATAGAGAATACACTATATTTTCCTTTGGCAGGAGAAGAGATTGTGCTCTTAAGGTAGATATAAACCCAATTATTAAAGTGTAACTTTAACTTCAGAAAGATTTTCAGACAATCCCCCCTCACAATCCATGAATGGGGTAGGCAGATGAATGAAAGATTTGCCACCTCCATTCATAGACTGCTTTTCATTAATAGAAGCTATGGTACAGATTCTATGAACAGACAAGGGGAGTGGGGGGATGGAAAGAGTGGGCATAGTCAGCCTCTGGAGTACTCGTCACAGGTCCAGTGCTGGTCCTAACCCCAGCAGAAGATTATGGTAGCGGGGTATGAGAGGAGGCAGATGACTTCGGATTTCCACTATTACAGTCGGCATCAGCACAAGGGATGCTTCGGAGCAGATGTAAGTAGCATTCCTTGTGTTGATTTTTTAAAAGCATTTTCCCCCCAAAACTTAGGCTTTACTTTAATTCCTCAAAAGCCATAGAGGTAATAAATCCACTTTAGGTGCACCATATGCTTTTAAAAACCCAGATATTGCCTTGTAAAAGTACCTGTGACATCATCATTGTTCTGTACATAACCTGTACAGTGAGCAGAGCTGTGGGAGGAGCCCATCAGGCTCCACCCACCATAGGCTGCCTTTAGAAAACTACATGAAGGGGCAGAGACAGGACCAGTCACCCTGCACAAGGAGAGAGAGCATCAGAGACTGGTGGGAGGGACTCAGCAGGCTCCACCCATTACAGGCTGCCTGCAGAGAACTTCAGAAGGGGGCGGAGACAAGACCAGTCACCCTGCACAAGGAGAGCATCAGACTGGTGGGAGGGACTCAGCAGGCTCCACCCATTACAGGCTGCCTGCAGAGAACTTCAAAGGGGGGCGGAGACAAGACCAGTCACCCTGCACAAGGAGAGCAGCAGTGACTGGTGGGAGGGACTCAGCAGGCTCCATCCATTACAGGCTGCCTGCAGAGAACTTCAGAAGGGGGCGGTGACAAGACCAGTCACCCTGCACAAGGAGAGAGAGCAGCAGCAGTGCGCGGTCTTTATTACAGGAAGCTCCTGCAGAAAGGAAAGTCTCACACTGGATTACTGCACAGATCTGGAAAAAATACACAAAGCACACCAAGATTCAAGGAAAAATACACAACGTTTGTATTTAGACAATATCTGCTGATCCTGGAGTGGTGCTGCCACTTCTAACCCCACTGCCCTAAATAATGACCGCGAATGCCATCATTGTAAGTCAGCCCTGGTTCTTAGATAGAATAAGCGAAGGAATGCATTTGTGGACGTTTGAGGCTGAATATTCCTATTCTTGCATAAGCCCAGTAATGACAAGTTCTCCGTAATACCTCTGTGAACGTGACAAGACTTTGTGGTCAGGGTCAAGTGCTAGTTACAGGGCTTTGTATCGGTGAGGAAATGTCACATTGCTTCATAATGGTACCTTCTGCATTCTCAGAACAGAACTGGCTGTCTCTGAGCATCATGGTGTGTTTGGCTGATGTGCAGTCACTCTAAACCAAAAATTCTCTTTACATACATTGACTTTTTACTCTGTTTTCCCCGACAGCCATACATTATATGCACATTCTTGTAGTCTTTTGCATTTGTTTAAATATACAAATAAAAGAGATCAGCTTAAAGTCTTACTAAATCCAGGACCCTGCATCCACTATATCTGGTCTCCCGGACCCTGCAGTCACTATATCCGGTCTCCCTGGACCCTGCATCTACTATATCTGGTCTCCCTGGACCCTGCATCCACTATATCTGCTCTCCCTGGACCCTGCATCCACTATATCTGGTCTCCCCGGACCCTGAATTCACTATATGTGGTCTCCCCGGACCCTGCATCCACTATATCTGGTCTCCCCAGACCCTGCATCCACTATATCTGCTCTCCCCGGACCCTGCATCCACTATATCTGCTCTCCCCGGACCCTGCATTCACTATATCTGGTCTCCCCGGACCCTGTATCCACTATATCGGTCTACCCGGACCCTGCATTCACTATATCTGGTCTCCCCGGACCCTGCATTCACTATATCCGGTCTCCCCGGACCCTGCATCCACTATATCTGGTCTCCCTGGACCCCGCATTCACTATATCCGGTCTCCCAGGACCCTGCATTCACTATATCCGGTCTCCCAGGACCCTGCATTTACTATATCTGGTCTCCCCGGACCCCGCATTCACTATATCTACTCTCTCCGTACACAGAACATGGAAATGCAATTATTATAGTAAATGTAAACTGCTAAATACCTTTTTTCAGCAGTATATAGCAGTCTTGTGGTTAAAGCTTGTAGGAGGAATTTTCTATTTGCTCTTTTGCTCTGGCCCTGTGCTGATCCCATGCACTTTCCCAAGGAAAAAAAAAAAACCTCTTTAGCAATACACACCAAACTGAGCATGTGCATGTGGCTATGGGTTTAGTTTGTCTTATCAGGTGGACATTTGAGCAAGAGGAGGGGCAGAGAAAACAGGACCAAATGGCCTTTTTACACAATGCAGGGGATTAACCCCTTTATTACAGGAAGCTCCTGCAGAGAGGAAAGTCTCACACTGGATTACTGCACAGATCTGGAAAAAATACACAAAGCACACCAAGATTCAAGGAAAAATACACAACAGTTGTATATAGACAATATCTGCTGATCCTGGAGTGGTGCTGCCACTTCTAACCCTACTGCCCTAAATAATGACCGCGAATGCCATCATTGTAAGTCAGCCCTGGTTCTTAGATAGAATAAGCGAAGGAATGCATTTGTGGACGTTTGAGGCTGAATATTCCTATTCTTGCATAAGCCCAGTAATGACAAGTTCTCCGTAATACCTCTGTGAACGTGACAAGACTTTGTGGTCAGGGTCAAGTGCTAGTTACAGGGCTTTGTATCGGTGAGGAAATGTCACATTGCTTCATAATGGTACCTTCTGCATTCTCAGAACAGAACTGGCTGTCTCTGAGCATCATGGTGTGTTTGGCTGATGTGCAGTCACTCTAAACCAAAAATCCTCTTTACATACATTGACTTTTTACTCTGTTTTCCCCGACAGCCATACATTATATGCACATTCTTGTAGTCTTTTACATTTGTTTTAAATATACAAATAAAAGAGATCAGCTTAAAGTCTTACTAAATCCAGGATCCTGCATCCACTATATCTGGTCTCCCTGGACCCTGCATCCACTATATCCGGTCTCCCCGGACCCTGCATTCACTATATGTGGTCTCCCCGGATCCTGCATCTACTATATCTGGTCTCCCCGGACCCTGCATCCACTATATCTGGTCTCCCCAGACCCTGCATCCACTATATCTGCTCTCCCCGGACCCTGCATTCACTATATCTGCTCTCCCAGGACCCTGCATTCACTATATCTGGTCTCCCCGGACCCTGCATTCACTATATCTGGTCTCCCCGGACCCTGCATCCACTATATCTGGTCTCCCCAGACCCTGCATCCACTATATCTGCTCTCCCCGGACCCTGCATCCACTATATCTGCTCTCCCCAGACCCTGCATTCACTATATCTGCTCTCCCAGGACCCTGCATTCACTATATCTGGTCTCCCCGGACCCTGCATTCACTATATCTGGTCTCCCAGGACCCTGCATCCACTATATCTGGTCTCCCAGGACCCTGCATCCACTATATCTGCTCTCCCCGGACCCTGCATTCACTATATCTGGTCTCCCCGGACCCTGCATCCACTATATCTGCTCTCCCCAGACCCTGCATCCACTATATCTGCTCTCTCCCGGACCCTGCATTCACTATATCCGGTCTCCCCGGACCCCGCATCCACTATATCTGCTCTCCCCGGACCCTGCATTCACTATATCCGGTCTCCCCGAACCCCGCATCCACTATATCTGCTCTCCCCGGATCCTGCATCCACTATATCTGGTCTCCCCAGACCCCGCATTCACTATATCTGCTCTCCCCGGACCCTGCATCCACTATATCTGCTCTCCCGGACCCTGCATCCACTATATCTGCTCTCCCCGGACCCTGCATTCACTATATCCGGTCTCCCAGGACCCTGAATTCACTATATTTGGTCTCCCCGGACCCTGCATTCACTATATCTGGTCTCCCAGGACCCTGCATTCACTATATCCGGTCTCCCAGGGCCCTGTATTCACTCTATCCGGTCTCCCCGGACCCTGCATTCACTATATCTGCTCTCTCCCCGGACCCTGCATTCACTATATCCGGTCTCCCCAGACCCTGAATTCACTATATCTGCTCTCCCCGGACCCTGCATTTACTATATCCGGTCTCCCCGGACCCTGCATTCACTATATCTGGTCTCCCTGGACCCTGCATTCACTATATCTGCTCTCCCCGGACCCTGCATTCACTATATCTGGTCTCCCAGGACCCTGCATTCACTATATCTGGTCTCCCTGGACCCTGCATTCACTATATCTGGTCTCCCCGGACCCTGCATTCATTATATCTGGTCTCCCGGACCCTGCATTCACTATATCCGGTCTCCCCGGACCCTGCATTCACTATATCTGGTCTCCCCGGACCCTGCATCCTCTATATGTGGTCTCCCCGGACCCCGCATTCACTATATCTGGTCTTTCCGGACCCTGCATTCACTATATCTGGTCTCCCCGGACCCAGCATTCACTATATCTGGTCTCCCCGGACCCCGCATTCACTATATCTGGTCTCCCCGGACCCCGCATTCACTATATCTACTCTCTCAGTACACAACATGGAAATGCAATTATTATAGTAAATGTAAACTGCTAAATACCTTTTTTTCATCAGCAGTATATAGCAGTCTTGTGGTTAAAGCTTGTAGGAGGAGTTTTCTATTTGCTCTTTTGCTCTGGCCCCGTGCTGATCACATGCACTTTCCCAAGGAAATAAAAAACCTCTTTAGCAATACACACCAAACTGAGCATGTGTATGTGGCTATGGGTTCAGTCTGTCTTATCAGGTGGACATTTGAGCAAGAGGAGGGGCAGAGAAAACAGGACCAAATGGCCTTTTTACACAGTGCAGAGGATTAACCCCTTAGGTTCCACAGTGAGTATAACAAGCACGCTTTACTGCATATACAGACTGATTTTACCGTTGTGGGTGAGCCAGTCTCCAGACCTTAATCCGATTGAAAATCTGTGGATGGAGCTGAAAGTTCGAGTTGCCAAATGTCAGCCACCAAACCTTAATGACTTAGAATGGATCTGCCAAGATGAGTGGGCCAAAATCCCTCCTGAACCTGGTGGCCAACTACAGGAAAAGTCTTACCTCTGTGATTGCCAACAAGGGATTTGCCACCAAGTACTAAGTCATGTTTTGTGAAGGGGATCAAATACTTATTTCCCTCATGAACATGCAAATCAGTCATCATTTGTTAGACATCCATTTCTTTTAAATTTTTTATTGCTATTCTGTCTCTCAGTGTTACAATACACCGAACATTCGATTTTTAGACTGATCATTTCTTTGTGAGTGGGCAAACATTCAGCATCAGCAGGGGATTCGCGGCCACGGCTGTCAATCACTGGGTCCCAGCTGGTGATTACTCTCTGGCACCCGGTGATTGTGGAGCATGTCTGATGGGGGGGGGGGGGGGGACTGTATGTAAACAAAACAGACACAGCCCCCTAGTAAAACACACACAGCACACAGTTAACCCTTATCGCCCCATATGTTAACCCCTTCCTGCCCAGTGTAATTAGTACAGTGTCAGTGCTTTTTATTATCCTGACTAATGACACCACAAAACAACTTATCCAGCCTTGGTTATATCCCGCCTCGATTACTGCAACTCCCTCCTCACTGGTCTACCGTTACACAGGCTATCCCCCCTTCAGTCTATTATGAATGCTGCTGCTAGACTCATACACCTTACCAACCGATTAGCTACTGCTGCCCCCCTCTGCCAATCCCTCCACTGGCTTACACTAACCAAATGTATAAAATTCAAAATACTAACCACAGCTTACAAAGCCATCCACAACACTGCCCCTAGCTACATCACCAACCTCATCCACAGATACCGCCCAAATCGCCCACTCCGCTCCTCCCATGATATCCTCCTCTCTAGCTCCCTCATCACCTCCTCCCACGCTCGCCTCCAGGACTTCTCCAGAGCCTCTCCCATCCTCTGGAACTCCCTACCACAGCATGTCCGGTCAGCCCCCACCCTGTCTGCCTTTAGGCGATCTTTGAAAACTCACTTCTTCAGGGAAGCTTACCCCACCTCCACCTAATAACTGTACTTGAATCACCTCCGCCAGATCATCCCCTGCAGTTATCACCTTTTGTATCACCTCCCCCTTCCTTTAGATTGTAAGCTCCACGAGCCGGGCCCTCCGATTCCTTCTGTACTGAAATGTATTGTAATTGTACTGTCTCCCTTCATATTGTAAAGTGCTGCGCAAGTTATCGGCGCTATATAAATCCTGTATAATAATAATAATTAGCACTGATCACTCGATTGGTGTCACTGGGGATGTCAGTGACACCAAGTCAGTTCCCCCCAGTGTCAGAATGCCTGCCGCAGTCCCGCTATTAATTGCTGATTGCCAGTCTTTTGTTGTGATTAGCTGTGATTGGGCAAAGCTCATCACATGATACAGATGGGCTGTGAATGGCCCTGTCTGTACCATGTGACTGCTTTGATCAGTCACAGCTAACAACACAATTGTATACAATGAATGGTATGACAGAAAGCCATCCATTGTATACAATCGACATGTGGTCTGCTGTGATTGGTCACAGCGGTCACATGACACTGGCAATGGGCTGGCGCAGTGATATGTCATCGGCTGTGTCCACGGCTGTGGCCACGGGAGACAGAGCACGCCTCCGCGCGGCTCCGTGCCCGCGTGCACGGCTGCTTTTGACAGGACGTCATATGACGGCGAGTGTCCCGCCCGGCCATCAATCTGCTATAGGCAGATCTTATCAGTGGGTTAACACATGGAAACCCTTGTTTCTATTAAGGCTCCATGTACACTGGAACGTTTCTGCTGGCAGCAGAAAAATGCTAAACGTGGTAAAAATGCGTGTAAACGCGGTACCACGTTTAGCTGCATTTAGCACTTGGACGTTTATTCATTTAATTGGCAAGAGTACTTGCCATTAAAAGAAATACAGTAAATGCCCAAGAGCTACACACGTTTTTGCGGCGTTTAGCATTTTTTGGCCAAAACCTTCCTCTCCTGAATGCGATTCTTCTGCATTCAGGAGAGGGACGTTTAACTGGCCCTAAACTCTGATAAAAGTCTTTGTGAACAACTGAGTTCAGGAGCTTTAGCAAAAAATGCCAAACGCTCTGGAACTCAGGTTTATGGGCAGCAGTGTACATGAGGCCGAAGTCTAGGTTCACACCTATGCGTTTTTAGGTGTGAACCTAGCCTAAAGAGTAGTAGACATTGCTGTCATGATTTTTCATAGAGATCATGTGATCCTGGCTGCCTAGGCTGATAGAAAACAGCAGTTTTTTGTTTACATGTAATAGTATTGTGAATTGTTACGACTCTCATGTGCTCTGTTGATTCAAGTGAAGTGTAAAATTTAATGACAGGTCCACTTTAGGAGATCTATTTATTATGGATCCAAATTGCTTTTTCGATGTGTTTTCTTTGTGCATCCACTAGACTTCCTTTTCCGAACCTCAGACTGTTACACAACATTTCCAATTTTCAGTCTGCATTTCGATTGTGAATAGTTTTTTTTTCAGTAAAATCCATTTTCTGGACAGCTGATGATTTATATAGACTTGATGATGTAGTTTTCAATGTCCTGACTGTACAAAACATTTCTGTTCTCTCATGATTGCCTAACCCGTTGTTACCGATCTTTGTCATTTTGGCCATGCCACGGTTATTTTGAGATAGATATATACATATATATATATATTGTATATATGTTTTTATATAATATATTTTGATTATAAAAATGTGATTTGAACTGTGTTGGAATACAATGTTTATACATTTTTGTGCAACAACTACATTAACCATTAGATGGCAACGTTTATAAGTTTGTAGCTGTATCTATGATAGAACTCTATGTCTTTCCCTCTACCATAAAGTTCCTGTTTCCTGTTAGCAGAGAAGCAGCAGATAAATGTGTGTGGACTGTGCACTGTCTGTTCTGTAAGGCTATATACAGAATCTCTAACAAGCTGTCCTATACTTTCAAAGGGAAACCTGATGACCTTTACTCATAGGTTAAAGTGATATTAAACGATCTCCCTATTCTCTAAAAATAATCCATATATATCCAATACCTAATGGTCCTGTAATTAATTTTTTTTTATATTGTTTCTTTCTGTGTTTTCCTGCCTCCATATAATGTTCTCTATGAACTCCTGAGCCTCTCCTTTACCCCCCCCCCCCCCCCACACTTCCTGTTGTTTGGAATGAGCCGTGCCGGATAGTTGAGGTCATGTGCACTGCTCTATGCACACTGTACATCCCATAGTCCATAGTCTATCTCAGGAGTGAGCAGGGGTGGGTGGCTATAGTCCTAGAAAGGGGCCATGGAGGAATGAAAGGGATTCGGAGGAGGCTGAGAGCAGCAGGAGGGACTTTTTTGAGTTATGAGTACATACTTAAAGGATGGGTTCACCTTTCGTAACGTGTTAAACCCACATTCAGGGTGTAACATGTTACAAACGGAACGGAGTGGCCCCCGCTCCCCGTTGTGAAAGGGGGAACGCAGTTCTGTCACCTCCAGCATAAGTGTATGTAATGTCAAGGGATTCTGTGGTGTGCTAGAGGGTCTATTGATGCTGGTTGCTGGGGGATCTATTGTCGCTGAAGCGGATCTATATTTGCATGGGTTTCTATTGTTGCTGGAGGGTCATTTGTTGCTGGGTGGGACCTACTGTTGAGGGAGAGGTCTATTGTTACTGGCTGCTGGGAGATCTGTTGTTGCTGCAGGGGGGTGTTATTTTTGCTGGGGTGGTATTTTGTTGTGGGGTGTCCAATGTTGCTGGGGGGAGTCTATTGTGTGTGGGAGGAGTCTATTGTTTCTGGAGTGGGGTCTCTTGTTGCTGGGGGGGTCTACTGTTCCTGGGGTGGGTTCTAGTGTTGCTCACTGCAGGGGATCTATTTTACTGTCTTTCTTGTTATCATTAACATATTCCCACACAAATTAGTAGCGCAAAATGATGCTTGGTTCTGTATTTTCTCAAAGGGGCAGTACTGGGAGGTGGGTAGAGGGTGGAACCAAGGGACAGTGCTCAGAGGTGGGTAGGGGGTGGAACCATGGGACGGTGCTCAGAGGTGGGTAGGGGGTCATGGGACGGTACTCAGAGGTGGGTAGGTAGTGGAACCATGGGACGGCGCTCAGAGGTGGGTAGATAGTGGAACCATGGGTCAGTGCTCAGTGGGAGGGTAGAGGGTGGAACCATGGGACAGTGCTCAAAGTTGGGTAGGGGGTGGAATCATGGGACGGTGCTCAGAGGAGGGTAGGGGGTGGAACCATGGGACGGTGCTCAGAGGTGAGTAGGTGGTTGAACCATGGGACGGTGCTCAGAGGTGGGTAGGGGGTGGAACCATCGGACGGCGCTCAGAGGAGGGTAGGGGGTGGAACCATGGGACGGTGTTCAGAGGTGGGTAGGGGGTGGAACCATGGGACGGTGCTCAGAGGTGGGTAGGGGGTGGAACCATGGGACGGCGCTCAGAGGTGGGTAGGTGGTGGAACCATG